AATCAAACGCATCGTCTGACATAGTTTAGTTCCGAAAGAATCTTCCGGCAGAACAGCGCTGGGACATCAGCCGCTTGGGGCTTGGCATCCTCCTGCTCAATTACAGCTATGAGGTATCGGATAGAAGCATGGAGCCAAGACAGCTCCACCTGGGACTGCGGAGCTGGAACTTGCTGCGGAATCTGAGTTACCTCGCAACGAGGCACTAGGCCACTCCTCGACAGAACTGTTCTTTATCCGCCTGCGCGACCTTGGCCGCGACCCCTTGTGCAGGTGACCTCAGGCAGACATTCGCGCATTCCCTGACAGGGCCGCAACCTGAACCCCCCACCAGGCTCCCGACTTGTGCGACGAGCTCCGCTCCAGCTCCATCATGTAGCACTCACCTTCGCGACGTTCGAGCTTGACCGTATTTCCGGCGCGGCATTGCTGTGCCAGTACTGGAGTTACTCGAGTCAGCAAACATTTCTGCAGAACCGGGGGTCCCGCGAAGCGTGTCAATGGTGTCAGATGCTTTCACCGCGGCAGTGAGAACACTTTGAAAGCGCCTCAAGCACACACAAACTTGAGGAGAGTACATATATTTCTATGGCAGTACCACTGCAACTACCCTGTTGCCAAAAAGCGCTTGACAACAGATAGCAAAAGCACAAGACCCAGGCAGGCAATAGTTGCCCACCGCAGCTTCCATCTTTGCTTGCCTGATCTCAACGAAGCCACTCGATTTCAATATCATGCTGAACACAACTCGCCTAAACCCCCGGAATGGGTGAATCGCAGCAAGAACCTCAAGAAAAAAAGCAGCTCCGGGCCTTGCCTCAGCCGGTGGCTTCGCCTGACATTCCCGGCATTTCAGGCTGGGGCAGTTCGTGACACTCTCAGAGGCCCCTGCAGGCAGTGGCCGAAGGCAAGGTCGGCCACCGCGTCGGAGGACAGGAAATCCTCCTTGGCACTTCAAGCCCTGCTCAGCTCACAGCGCTTGGAGCAAGAGAGGAAGACAGCGCTGGGCGCACCATGGCCGCAGAGCAGGCGTGAGCAGAGCTCATCGTTTCGCAAAAGCTGGACTTGTTGAAATCATCCCGCATCTGTGCCTGTTCAGCGCACCATCAAGCGGAACAGCCGCAAGCACCCAGGATTTACGGAAAGTCCCGCCAAAGCCAGCATCTCGCCAAGAAGACCGCATGTTTCTTTACCTCAGTCAATGCTCATGGACAGCTTGTCCTTCCAAGCCTGAAAGCCAGCGATGACAAGGCCCATACTTTGCAAATGCTTGCGGCAAACTGACACACTGGACTCTTCCGTCACGTGGCCAGAAGTGTTGGCCTAGCACGAATTCCACTCCAACCGGCACCAATGCTCTCGCCTGATCATGCCTTATCCACGATATCCGCGCATTTATTCGCAGTGAAGACTTGGATGTCCTGTCAAAACGACGGACGTGCCAGGCCATGAGTTGCAGCACGCGACATCATCAGAGCAAGGCCGGCCGCAGAATTCTCGAAGATTAATGCATGGGCCCCAACCAGCACCTTCAGCGAACCCATGTGTCACTTGTATGGCTGCTTTCTAAAACAAAGTAGTGGCAGAACTGGCAGAACACACTCGTGTCCGTGCCGGAAATAAGATTCCGACAGCCAGAGTGGTGCACCTTCACCGACACTTCTAGCAGTGAGTAGATCTTTATCCTGGTTACAAACCCAAAGGCATTTCAGCGCATTGCAATCCCAGTCACTTCGTTGACATCACGTGGCGGCTCGCAAGCCGGTCATAGCCTTGAGCCTGTGTCTCTGCCACTGCCCATCAACAAGGAAGAAGAGGCATCCTGGTGATTGTTGTGCTTTCGATCCCGCTCCGATAAACTGTTTCAACGGCTAAACTTTGAACTTTCTGACGGGTCATCCCAAAACACCAGTAAATTGGGTTCTGTTGAACCGCACTTTGCAGTTCAGCTTACATCGTGTCCAGGTGCTCTGAGTTAGGGTATGGCACCCCTATTGGCAAGATGGTCTCGAAACCCATACCCCCCCCCCACTCCAAAACATCAAGTTGCACTCATTTTTAACATATCCTAACTTTTCATTGTCATGATCTTCACCACAAACACACCTCGTACCTTATTCTTTTTCACTACTCATTGTCCTCATTTTCCTTATGTCTATTTTACAAATTTTAACTCAAAACAATTGTGGTATCTCAACGATAAAACCCATCGAATTTTGTCATACTGCCTTATTCATTTTAAATTATATACCTTCTCATTCGTTTGTTTATGTATCTCTTATTATTCGTTTTTCATATATCTCTGATTATTCGTTTTTCATATATCCCTTATTATTCGTTTTTCATATGTTAACCCTCTTTGTTTTCAAGTGTCTTCACATTTCCTAAATACTTGGTGCTGAATATTAGCAGGTCTTCATTTTCAAACACTTATCGCAAAATGTATCTCAGGTCTTGTTTTCCCGATAGGCGTGGTAGGGTTTTTTTCGAACGCGCAAGGCTCACTGTTTGAGCCCATCAGCACCGACCTATCCTATTTCATTTACCGGTGGCTTAAATTATCGTCCCCTGTCCCTTCTGGGCTTGTGCACAACCGTCTGCCAATACTTGCGGTCTTGGCATTTGGGATGGACGTAGCGAAACAATGAGGTATTGTCCATCCATACAACTCCGGGTGCCCGGTGGGCATGGCGTACTTGTTGAAAAGAGGGAACTTCAAAGAAGTCGTGATGTATATGATCGTGAGGGGGTGCCTGGTCTGACAGTAAGTGATCTATGCGCTGGGCTGCTTGTGCCATGCAGGATTCTGCCCAGGGGCGGTTGGGTGCCCTAATATGGCGATTAGCGTGGGAGCACATATATGTACATTTGTTCTCTATGGACTCCGGGTGCCTATGAATATGTCCAAATAGCTGAAGACGCTGTTGGGAGTATAGTTGAGACGGAGCCTGTACACGCCGGCTGGCGTAGGCTAAAGAGGCTAAGTATTGATTCGAGCATTGGGCGTCTGAGGGGTCCAAGACTCTGTGGTAGAAGGAGCCCTTGATTCTAAAAATGCGTCTCAAGGATTTATAATGAATAAGCAGCACACAGCCAAGGCAGGCTGTTGTTGGCAAGGGCCGTTTGGCCTGAACTGCAAGTGCTACACCAGTGAAGCCCAAATGGCCCGAACCCCACCGCAGGCGACGCTGTGGTGGGATAAGAAGCCATAGAAAACTCCGGGTCGGGAGGGAAGGCGAACTTGAGCAACGGCATCAAAAGAGTCACATCCAGAAGCAGCTTAAGAGTCAAGCAGCAAATCTTCGTTCACACTTTTTCAGCCAGCCAAGGCAGGTTGTTGTTGGCAAGGGCCGTTTGGCCTGAATTGCAAGTGCTACACCAGTGAAGCCCAAATGGCCCGAATCCCACCGCAGGCGAAGCTGTGGTGGGATAAGAAGCCATAGAAAACTCCATAGTGTCCAAGCAGTAGCCAGAACGACAGTACCCAACCAAACCATGCAGTTGCTCAAGACTGAGACCCATCAGCGGTGGGCCGAAGGAGCAGGTACCAAGCTGTCCACGGGATGTGCCTGCTCTCAAAGAAGAGAACCTTTTCCAGGATGCTTGTGAAGTCCCCTGCCAGGGCGTCCAGCCGATCACGGGTGTCCTGCGCCAACGAGGGCAAGTAAGATATAGCAACAACTTCTTGCAAGTAGATATCCATGACTCGTTGAGACAGCCAGCGACCACGACGGCGGACCAGCTCGGAGTTTTCAGTGAGTCCGAGATTCCAGGTAACCCCCCCCGGTCTGAGGAAGCTGAGATCGAAGACGGGGCGTCCATCTTCGATGAGCCCTAAACACGTCTGCTACTGCAGTCGCCGGCGCCAAGTCGCCCCAGACTGTCGTCAGAGAGGTGTCGTGGGAGGCAGGAGGCCAAAGACAACATCAGCCAATTGAATAATATCAATCGGGTCTATCCTTGCACATTGATGTCGAGCAGCTCGCCCCGAGTTTTAGGATTCCTGATGGCGAGTAAGGCGTGTGTAGTGCCTGGAGCTGAGTCGCGGGGCAGTATTAAGTCAGATCGGCAAGCAGCAAGGAGCTCGCCTAGCCTCAACAAGCCGGCCCAGGCAATACCAAAAAGTGCAACCTCTGTTGTCCAGCCCCACGCCAGCGCAGCAGCAAGCAGGGCAAGCAAAACACCTGCAAACATAGCCTTGTGATGGCAGTGGGGCTCCTCAGTCAACCATGCAACAGCCAAATCCCAAGCATAGGACAGATCCCTCCTGATGGAGGGTTTTGCCGAAGCAACAGCGTTTGTAGTCTCACTGTACTTGTTGTAGGGCAGTCCAGCGAAAAAGGGCCTGACCATAGCCAACCAGAAAAGTTGCCATCCGCTCCGCGACATCTACTCAGGGCGAAGAGTGCTGTTGTAGTTGTCATGGTTCTCAGTGTCTCAGTGAGCCAATGGTCAAAGGCGCCGGGCGCGCCCTCTCCGGTGGCAACTTATTAATAAATAAAAAACCTTTTTAGCGCGCGCGCAGCGCGCGCGCGTAGCGCGCCCAGACGCGAAAACAAAGCTCGA